CGCCTTTGAATCCAAGTAGACTAGGAATTTGCGGGCTTGAAAAAGTTATACCTTCCCAATAATGCAGCCATAATGAAAGATGTTTGGTTATTGGATCTATTACGTAATCCAATTTCTCTAATTCTGTCTTTCGACGAATCGCATCCAGTAGTTGTTCAATGCTCGTATACTCTCCTTTTGTTTGTTTCTCTGTTTCTCCAAGGTAAGGCCTGGAGATCTTGTCTTTCTCAACTTTCATGCTTGCTATAACCTGATCTTTTTTGTAGTACACAATTTTGTTGTCAGTTACGTTGTTTATCTGAGTTGGGAAGGTAATTTCTGTAACTGCTACTCGCCATTCACCTTGCAAATTTATTTCTTCACTCAGGAAGTTTTTAAAGTTGGCCAGTGGTTATCTTTAAAAACGTTCATTGATGCCGATGAAACTAGGGTAATTGAGAAGGAAGGGGGAACGTTGTGGGTGAAAAGGCTGGAAGTGCCCTCAGTCATGATTGCTTACAATTTCTCCTTCTCCAGTACGCGATTTAATTCAGACTCGTAAAATTTTCCCTCAATCGGTTCTCTGTTAGAATAAATCAAATTGTATGTTGGGGGATTTTGTGTTGGTAGGTGTTGCTTTTATTATCCAATAAGCTGAGTAGGTAATGTTGATTGAACACTCAGTTTATATTGACACAGCTGGCTCATTGAGTGTGTTCCTTCAGACCGCAATGACTGACAACGCTGAAATGCCTGTATGTCCGATACAGCGAACTGCTGGATGACGTAATTGATACCAATTGTTAATTATCGCATCGATTTTAATTAACAATTTTCTGAATTTACACATCGTATTTTCAAGGTTTTACAATATAAATAGAAAATTTATGTGCGGCATGTGTTTATGCCTTTCTTTTTACATAATTCTTCGAAGGACCCTTTAAACTCTTTGCCCTTGTCCACCCATACTTTTTTCGGTTGTTTTGTCGTTATAATTAGTTTGAACGCTTCTGCTGTTGTAGTAGCATACTTTGATTTCAAGGGTTGCACTCTGAGATAGCGGGACATGCAGTCAACTGCAACAAGCAGATACTTAACATCATGGTTGTACTGGGCAAGTTTAACAACAAAGGCCAGATCTAATGACCAGGTTTCGTCGATATCGTAAACTATGACCTTGAGTCGCGGCGTTTTTCGGATCACAGTTCGATATTTCGTGTAAGCAGGTTCAGTATTAAGGAAATGTTGAACTTTATTTCGCGACAATTTGGTTGCTTTTATCAAGTTGTTCACACTACCAAACAACGCGGGACCTTTGTCACTGTATTTAGTTTTCAACATTTTTTCTTCAATCTTGGTAATTTTCCCATTGTTTTGTTTTTGCCTTCGTCTTTTCTGACGTTGGGGAACCTGAATCGTTATAGGGCGTTCCGTACGAGTCAGAACCTTCTTCTGACTCTTTTTCACGTTTTTGGTTATTTTGGTTTTTGGTTTTGGTCCACATATATCACCTCATTGTCACTGTTTTTGATTACCTTTTTTGATTTTGTTATGATTTCAAGTATGGTTTTTGCTCTAATAAATTTTTTTCTCTCTAAAACCTGTAACTGTCCCAAAATACTTTCGGTCTGGTTGTCGCTTTTCTCTTCTAATATTTCACCTTTATCACGTTAGACCTTTACTTCTTCATTGTCCATTAACAGTTCAAGCTGATTTTGTTGGGGCTCAGCAACAAATTCCCTAAACTTTTCCTTCGTTGCAGTAGTCTTACTAGTTTGAGGAAGTATTTGGGGTCTAAGCCGGTTAAGGTAGGATAATTGAGCGTCTTTATGTTTAAGATTATTATCGTGAAGAACACGTGCAGCATCTGGCTGCTCTTTAACATATAAGTTTCCGGAGTTAGACTGAATTCTTCAGCAGTCATGATTAAGTTGTGAGGTACTTGTAACAAAAATAAAGTATTTGCCGCACTAAATGAAAACCTTCTTTACTCAAAATAATTGCACGTTTTTTGACAACACTGGTTTTTGGAGTGATTAAAAATTTGTATGCTGTCTCGAATTGTTCGATATTTGCGATTTTAACGGGTACGTTTCGATTGACTACATTGAGCAAACATTCACAAATCAGTGTTATGATCTCGCAATTTGAAGTTTTTCTATTTAATCGTCTTAATTCGTCAGGTGTCAGTTGTACCATATGCCGCAGAATAGATACGTTTTTCTTTTTCATTTGTGATTGGAATATTTTCTGCTTTCGAAAAGGGTAAATAAAAAACTGTTTGCCCAGGCCGTATGATATTTGAACAGTCGATTAGAAGATGTCCAAAAGAGTCTCGGGTAGCTAATTCGTAACAGCTTCTCAAAAACTTTGAATTATTCAATTGTCTTCCTAAAAAATCTAGTTGCTGAAAGTCACGAGGCGATTTGAACAGAATGATGGGTGACGTATTCAAATCAATCGTACGCGACCATCGATTTTGTTGAAACAAGTTATGCTTAACATATATTACATCTATCCCTCTATGTCTACCCGCTGTCGCTAATTTGACAAATTCCTTGTCATTATAGATGTCTTCACATGAATCATCGAAAACTAGAAGAGTTTTTTCTAAATTTCTTATAGATTCCAATCCGTTGAATTTCATGAACTTCACATTTACTTCGTGAGAAGACACTTTTTCTGAGAATGCAGGTTGTATCTCTTTGTAAAGATATAGAACGGTTCCAATTTTAGGGTAAAAAGTATTTCCCATCAAAATTTGGAAAATTAACTCAGTTTTCCCGGATCCTGAGGGTCCCACTATTGCCATGAAAACTCTTGTCGAAGTATCAATCACTTTATTCATATCCTCGGATTTGGTAATACGTAAGCAACCAAGCCGGATAAAATCGAAAACCAAACTGAAGTTTCTTTGCAACTGAATTTAGTGACAGAAAGTTTGAGAACATTGTTACAAAACTTCCATGATTTTTTTTCACTGTTTGTCTCGTTATAAACAATCTCTGTTACTATTGTCGCATCAGGTTCATCTACTGCTGTTGCTGTTTCTGACATTTGAGATCTGATTTTTTCTGCAGACTGTGTTAGACTTTTTCTCACTGCAAATGAAGCTTGTAAAAAAACAATAAATTGAATTAGTATTATGAACAGTACAAAATTTCATGACGTGTGAAGTCTCTATCATTTATGTCATGCATTTCTAGAACTAAGTTTGCTGGGACATTTGCAGTTTTTTCATAGTACAATATTTTCTTCACAGTATCCTCTTTCACTATCCTTTTAATCTTATCTGGCAATTCACTGCTGTTTAGATCCATCTGAACTCCTGGTTGACGTTTGGGCACTAAAACTAGTTCGGGAAGATATACTCCTCGCTTGCTGGCTAACATTTCTGATAAACTTGAATCTCTGGAAGTATACAAATTGATCAATTCCTGGAAAAAATCTCTTTAAGGTAGACAACTCTTCTTCGGAAATTATCATTTGCTCCTTCCTCTGAACAATTTTGCCGCTGCAATCAATACGCTCTATTCTTGTAAATGAAATTTTAATATCACCCTCTGGAGTCATCCACGCACAAAGCATTGAATTTAATGATAGGTATGTCTCCACTTTCGCTGATCTCTCGCTGTTGTTCATTTTTCAACCAATCATAAAAAACTTTGCTTTTTTTCAGGGCACAATGATTTCTGGAGTTGTAATGAGGTATATGTCTATTGCAACTTGGATAATTTTTAAAAAATAAGTTTTCAACCCAAGGACAGCCCAAATCATCTAGGTTTTCAACCTTTTGGTCCAAGTACTTGGCCAAAAATTCTGTCTTTTCTTTTCCTTTAGCGTAAAAAACGGCACCGGGATTTCTCAACACAAAACTCTGAAGTTTTTGATTCGAGTTTATGTAAAGGTAATCACCGTATTCCCAATGGAGACCGTGTAAATTTTTTGTTAACCAGTTGTAAGCTTTTTGTTCAAGCTTTGGTAGTATATTGAATTTCACTGGAGGTAAAAAAAAATGAGTCGATCGCTGTAGTCTGAAGTTGTTATTGCTAATTCTTTAACCACAAAGGCGTTTTTCTTGTAACGAAAGCCCTCCACATCAAGCACAACTGATCTCTCGCCTAGCATTCTAGTAAATGATAAACTTCTGGTTTTTTCATCTTAATGAAAGGCAGAACGCTATTCCACTCAAATGTCCCAATACGACGTTGTTAGAGTTCCAGGGCAACATGTAAGAGTACGTGGGACCCTGTTGATAAAATTCGTGTATAAATCCGGCCGCTTCGTGCAAAATAGCGTGCAATCGTAAAATTTTGGATTTTTTCAAGTATTGTCCAAGGAAGAAATATCAATACCAATCAACCACCATAAGGTCTCAACCTAATTAAAATGTCGTAGTTAAGGTTATCAGAACTAACAAAAAACAGAGAACATGCAGCTAGAAAATAATTGCGTCGGTTAGAATTATCAGGATAAGTTTCTTTCAAAGACGGATAAAATTCGTGAATTATTTTCAAATCAATAGGAGTTACTCTGCTTTTTTGCAATTTCATTGTTTATTTTTTCCAACACCTCTCAAACCTGCTAAATTTCAAGCCAGTGCAATTAAAAGCACCTTGCAGATACCATTTAAACTCATTTAGATAACGGTGGTAAATCATTAAATAAACGACCGGAAATTTTTTGTATTTTGATAGCTTGTTGAAACATAGACGGATTTTTCTCTTCAAGTCTTTATCAACCCATGTTGAGTTAAAGTCAAACAAATAGTCGAATACGTTTTCATAATCAGCAAAATTCAAATCGCTCACAGTACCATATTTTTGTTTTGTAGTGATGCATCAATTGTTGGCAATATTACCAAAAAAATAAGTTATGAGATTGTAAAATATGACATTATTTCTTTTTAATTGTCGCATTTTAAAGTTTAGTGGAAGAAATTTAGATGATGTAGCAGTTTTTAACAGAAATTGCTGAACAAACTTTGTGAAAAACTTTTTTTGTGGAAAATTTAATTTCAGGACCACCGATCTGGGCGAATATGTAAACAGCCCTCCTTCGATCATAATCGACAGTCCCCAGCAAATTGAAGAAACGGAATACGCCGACCCGTATACGACCTCTATAGACCCATATTGTGCTCCAAACGACGACGTTTATCAAGGTGTATATTACAAAGAAAATGATGAAGATCCGTATACTGAACCTACCAATTCAAATCACGACTCCTGATTTTAATCTATAAGATAAATATGTTCGCGATGATTCTATCGTCTGGGTTATCCAATTTTTTCAAACTCTTTCAAATATTTTCTAAATACACCAAAATTATGACAATCAAAAAGGGCAAGCTAAGCTTATTGTACATAAACGGCTCAAAACTTTTTCCGTAAATGATCTAACACTTTTAACAATGATCTAACACTATTAATAATGACAGGTATTTGTTTTCCCGCTTTTTAATTCGTCTAATTGTACCTTCGAAAAAAGTGCATTGTCTGATCAAGTTTGAGTATGTGAATGATTACCAACAAACCTGGTCAAATGCGCCACAACTCAGACTTTTTCTGCGGACTGTCACATCTAACTATCCCAGATGCATTGATTTGAATTTGAAGTCCATCAATTTGATTCGACGAAATTGTAAAATAAAATATTAATTAAAAACTTTTCAATTGACAATTTTGGCAATCATGGTTGACCAAGAAATCCGATACGATCTACAATTTTGTGCAATTTCCCATTTTTCGAGCACTCAGTTTGGTCAATTAAAAAATACTTTAACTTTGCGCTGTTATTAAATGAGAAAAAATAGCCAAAAATTGGGAGTTTCTTAATCATTTTTATATTGATAAAACTCGTATCTATGCGAAACCTTGAACTATCCGGGTGCCCTTAAATATATCAGAAATAGTTTTCGTTTTTAAGAAAAGTGTAACAGTTTTATGAGTTTTTTAAAAGTTTTTATCAAATGGCAGAATTGGTAATTTTGAAACCTGCGTTAGTTAAGCATACAACAGTTGTGTTCAATATGTCTCCGTCCTGTATTCGTGTCCTGAATTGTGTGGCAATTTTTGAGGAATAGATATCTGTTGCTTATCTAATACAACAGAACTGCTCGTATCAGGCCTACTGCCTTTTAAGGTCTATGGAGCAGAAGTAACAAAAAAATTGAATGTGATAACATAAAAAGAAAATCCCCCCACATGCAATATAATTATGGCAAACAAGCTTCCTTGAACCAATTCGGAGCAATTTCTAGGACGGATTGAATCTCCACTCACGCGTTAATATCGCGATTCTTATAGTTTTTAATTTTTAATTGTCCCAAATTGGCCAAAATAGCAATCTTTAAACCCTCAAAACTTTTTTAAAATGAGCACAGGTAAAATATCTTGTCAAATTTAAGCTCAAGACAACAATACATTTTGAATGATTTAAAAAAGCTCCGTCGAAAATGGCTAGTTAAAAAACCGAAATTCATAGTTAAAATTGCTCTAATGTGAGCTTGCATCGTTGGCTTCTTTCGTTTCGAAGTTCGCGTGAGCTTAATTTTCCCTTTTTTGATAAGTTTTAATGTAAACAGTTTGAGTTAGAAACACGTTTGGTTAAAAACTTCCATGGCACAGTTTTCCTAAAATAATTTCACTGTTATTAGCAAATAATATAAATAATTGTCTCAAAACACGATCCCAAGGGAACTGATTCAGCTCATTTGGTTGTGAATTTGACCAGAAAATTTTTACCGTACAATTGCTCTACCGGTTATTCTCAGTGATAATCATGGCTATTTCATATAAAGATCAGTGTTTGTCATCTCTGATTCAGGATTTGATCCACTTCATACATAATCAGATCTGAAACATTGGTGAATCAGTACTGTAGGTCATAGTTCTAAATTAAGACCGAATCATCTCTGAATCAGGGATAATTTTTATGGTTTTCGGAAAGCAAAAATAAAAAAACCCCGGGTTGAGCCTTCAATATTCAAATCTTTAACCACAACAACTCCTGCTGCGCCATTGTTGACAACTTTTACACAAAAAATTGGTACTAAATACCAAACACTCACTTAAGTTACATTAAATTTTTGACGAATAATTACTGAGTTACTGATCTATTGCTGTAATGTTCAACAAGACTGCTTGTATCAGGGCGAAACCCTGAATGTTGCGACTGCCTTTTGAGGCCTATGGAGCAAAAAATAACATGCAAAAATTAATTGTAATAAAATAAATTGAAAAAAAAAATTGAGATTTTTTTTCTGAAAATCATCCCCCCTTGACGCCATATAAAGCACAAAGTGATAAATTTTGTTCTTAGTAACATATCAATTGAGGCAAATAAGCTTCCTTCAACCAATTTGGAATGGTTTCCAAGACGGATTAAGTCTCCGCTTACGCATTAATAGCGCGAAATATACCGCGCGTTAATTGTCCAAAATTGGCCAAAATGATAATATTTAAACCCCCACAACTTTACAAAAAATGATCAAAGGTGAATTGTTTTTTTTTTAATTTAAGCTCTGAACAAAAATATTTTTGAATGATAAAAAAATATTTCGTCAAAAATGGCTAGTTAAAAAGTCGAAAATTGTCTGAAGAAACAAAAACCCACCCCGAGCACAAATATTCCGTTACTTTTGTTACGAAAGTCGGAACAATAACTTATCTATGATTCATTGCTGCAAAAATTGCTATCCTGAGATGGCCGAATGTGGGATGATTGTCACTGCATTATCAACCAGGGCGGCTAACATTCATGCATACTGTATGCTTTCATTCACAAATGCCAAAGAATTATGAAAAAAAAATTATTTTGTCATTTTTCCATTGAATTTGAATATTGTTTAATAGATAGAGCAAAAGTCCCAAGAGATAGCATTACATAATCTACGAATTGTGTCTTTTCTTGCAACTTGCTTGCTTCCTATTTTTTTCTACTAATAGGCTTTTCATACTTTGCATTTAGGGACAAGACTGCTGGTGTCAGGGCAAAGACTTGAATGTTCCGTTCCGACTGCCTTTTACTTGGTCTCGAATAATTTTTGTTAATTTAAATATTGGCAAAATTAAAAATTTTAGTCTGATGGTAGGTTAGTATAGTGGTGTGCATACCGGGCTAGGCCCAGTTAGATCAAGAAAGCGATCCCCCGAGGGACCATAGTTTTGTAAATTTATTGTGAACAAAAAAAGATCAACTGAGCATATAATATATATTCCTCACTTTCTTTAAAAATCCGAAAAATAACTGAGACGGAACTCTATTCCGTCACATTTTTGTATGCATGACAAACGTTTCCCATTAAAGCACCTGGAAAATACGAATGAATAATTCGCAATTTAGACAAACAATAAGTTTGCATTTTTCATTTGAAACAATAGAAATACTTCCTCAAATTTATTATAATTGAATATAATTCGGTGTATAGTTTTTCTAGACAGAACTCAAAGGTGAAAAAATTCATGTTTATGAATTACTATAAAAATTCTTATGCAACTCTTTTGCCGACAAATAAAAAATGTTCGGTTTCTGCGAAAGTACTCAAAGCAGAGATGTTTGCAAGCAAACAAAACACAAATAGATTTTTTTTCACATTTGCTGCTTGCTGTTATTCGTTAAGTTAAAGTCCATAGTTTGAGTGATTAAGTGAGACCCAAAAACTCAAGATTAATTGCAATAAGTATATTCACATTTAAAAAATCATTTTTCTTTTGTAAGCAGTTGTTTGGTGAAATGAAGAGCCAAATATATCAACTTGAGTGTTTTATGTGGCCCAACAAAAGTTAAGAAGGGTATAAGTTTCTACAATTTGCTTTGAATTAGGTGCTGAGCCTTAACCAGCCCAAAAATTTAAGTAAAGCATTTTCAGGAAAAAATGACCACCTTCACATCCGCTCAAAATTTGGCCTTTTTAGGAATCGGCTAAAAAATAAAATGATTGCATTTTTATTAGACGTGCGATCAGTGCGATCAATTTACTGTTCTCTGCATTTATACATTGAGTAATACAAACTATCAAAGTTACGAAATTTGGGCGGGCTAAGTAAAAAGACCTAAACTTATTAAGTTTGATATGATTCATAGCTTTTTTGTTATCATTGCAGATTATGAAGCCAATTTCAGAACTTTGCAATTTAGATTTCTAGCTTTCTTTGTTTTGTCCAAGTTATTTAAATCAGCACTAGGTTTCAGTACGATAGATTTTTGTAAACTTACGACGTGCTTTTGTTGTGCCTCGTTTTTCCCATAAAAAAGACTGACAATGAATTTTGCGGTACTAATTTCATGGTTAAGCCATGGTTAAAGTAAGTCCGTTAATTTTTGTACCACGGTGCAGGGGCGGATTTAGGATTTTCTCGAGGGGGGAGGGTGGATTTTCAAAAAAGTTTTTTCAATCTTTTGTCGATCTTTTTTTAGGTCGACCAACAACGCTCGCAGAAAACTAGCAGACCATATTTTGACAAAATTTTTCGCGTGGCTTTTTGGGCGCGTTCTCCCCGTCAAAGGGAATATATATCGGCGCCAAAAGAGCCTTCAAAAAAATTTCGGTCAGTCAAAATCGGATTTCTTAAAAAGTATTAAGGGGGACCAATTTTGGTCATCAGGGGGTCGACTCCCTGAAAAGGAGGCGTCCCCCCATAAATCTGCCCCTGCCAAGGTACCAAAAAAACACCCCTATGATACGACAGAACTAGTAGCATTGTAAAATCCGCTTGAACTTGATGTGATCAATCGAAATTTGAAATTGCAGACGCTTCTTTTGTATAAAATTAATTCTTAAATTGTTGTTATCCTTGCTTTCTTCAGACTCCAATTCTGTTGATTCAAACAAAACAATGGAAAATTTTTTTTGGCAGCGACAGACTTCAAATTAAGAGATTAAATTTAGGCTTTTCTCTTCTCAAACTGACGTTAAATTGGCTCAAAAGATGTTATTATGTTTCCACCGAAGCACAAAATGACCATCTTGAGTTGGCTTTCTGTTATAATGAATCTGAAAACATCAGAAATTTTTTCAAAGCTCTACGCAAATACTGTATCGATCAAATATTTTTAGTTTTGCCTCTACGTCATAGATACAAATAAAAATCTGCAAACCACTTATACACAATTCGTTGTGTTAATTTTGTAACTGGATTTTATTTTTATTGTTAATCGTATTTCAAGTTGGTAGCTGCTTTATGGTTTACAATATTAGTAGTTTATGAAAAATTAATACAATTTTTTTATTGTACTGTTTTTTGAGAGAAGTTTATCGCTGTGATTACTATTCAAAATGGCGCCGAGTAATACTAAGTTGGTGAAGTATGTTGTTTGTTGCGTGGCTGCAGTTCTTATGGTCGTAGCGTGTATTATGTGCATGATGGGTCATGCACAAGGCATTGTATCTGTGGCCGATGGGTCCATAACTATGGGCTTATGGACAGTGGGAACGAATGGAGGAAGTAGGACTTATGATTTGAGTAAGAAATAACTCCACTGAAAAATATTTATCCCATTTGCCCTTTAAAATGAAAAATTGTTCTTAGAACTTTGCATGCTATCAATCTGTACAGCGAAAAGAATAAATGCCAGAAAAAAGTGTAAAAATTGTATTAAATTCAGCTGGTAATTTAATTATTTGGCAAGTATTGGAGACGGGAACGGTGTTTAATGAAAATTCATTCTTATAAAAGAGACATCTTTTGATGTTTGTCTTCAACTTACTCGCCCGAACAAGTTTTTTTGCGTAAAATTGTTAGAATTTCAAAATAAAACACTTGGAAAATTGAATTTAAGCAAATTTTTTTACCGCATTAATTTGAATTAAACCGAATTTTTATATTTTCTCACCGGCTGAAGATGCAGGCAATAAGTTAATAGTAATTTAAATGGACCAAATCAAAATCAATCTAACGCCATTGGTAGAAGGATGCTAACTTGGTTCCAAGTGGGAACTTTCAGCCAGTCAAAATCAAGACATTTATTACTTGGTAACTTAATGTTACTCCAATCCACTCAACTATTAAATAAATAAAGATGCTGAATTTGAATGTTTCTTCCACCAGACTTCGGGGTCAAAGCAGACATGGGCCTGATCCCCACCTCCATCAAGACAGCCCTTCTGCTGGATGACTCATCGTTTCAGAGGAGGGTGAACTCGGCCAGAGTGTTCCTCCTGTTCAGCCACTTCTCCTCAGTCGTTGTCTTCTTCTTCTTCGTCATGTTCACACTCGACATCCTGAAGGACAAGAAGGGCGCGGCTGGACTGGTGGGCGTCAACCTCATACACAGTGAGATGATTAACTTTACAATAAATTTTCATCTAATTCAAAAACAAACAAAATAATTAAAATGACACAAAGATCTTTACAAGCAATGACCCTACTTTCCCCAAAATAAAAAATCAATTCAAGCCGGTTTTTTGAAAACTTTTATAATTAATTTTGAATTACAGGACTTCCGATTTGATTTGACTTCTAATATCTTTAAAACTTGTATATATGAAGTTGTAGAAATACGAACATTCAATTAAATAGTTTACTGAATAAATTGTTCTTAGAAAACTAAATTTAACAGGGATAGCCTATTACTGTGCAAGAAGAACAGAATGTTCCGACCATAGTCTCATAAAAACACAAAAAAAAATTGTTTTTTCAAATCAGTGTCGTTTTTTCTGCTAGGTTTGATAAAAGGATCTGAACAAAAAAACTAGAGCCTTAGGCATATTCAACCGTCATATTAAAATAAGCAAGTTCTACAGCAATTTTTGTAGAAAAATGACTAGAAAAACAACAATCAAAAAAAGCTAATTTTCTAAATTTTCGAAGTTTTTGGTTCCAAAAGAGCGCTAAAAAAAACTCAAAAAACTCTCTTTATGAAGTAAAATTAAGTTTTCATGGCTTAATTTAAGCTTAGTATAAGCTTTTGTAAGCATGCTCGCTCGCTTTATTAGCTCGTAAGACTAACTATCAAAAGTTTTAAACCTGTTTTTCTCGATAATGGGACAATTTTTTGAAAAAGATTTTTTTATTGTCGTTCGAATTACGGCTGAAAGGGCTTTAATATGATATATCATTGGACCCATTCCGATGTTTTTTTGTACCAGAGTTTGCGTGAGAAAAAAAACACCGAAATATAAAGCTCTTCCTCCAATATTTCAAATGGTCGGAACAAAACTTTCCGGCTAGTTAAACTGTAGTTGTGTTTGTGTAGTGTTGCTTCTGGTGATAGCGTGTGCGTGTATGCAGAGTGGCTTGAACAAGATCTCCGCCGTCGACCACCTCGAGTGGAGTGGCGCTCTCATTTGGACAGGGTAAGCACACGGGGACTATTTCAAGCGCGAAGGACCGAATGAGCGAAAATTCTCAACCGAAGCAAAGCTGGAGTCAAATTAACATCCTACCCACGCACCCCCCCCCCCATTCATTCTAAACAGACTAAGCTAAGATCTACCGCTCCAGGGTTTAATTCGCATTAAAGTTGCTAAGCGCTGCATGTAAAAATATCGATTATCATTGGCTGAAACATCCCAATTTAGAACCAAATTAACATCCTCCCCCTAAACGGATTTGGGGGATGTTAGCTTGGTCTGAAACTATCGCTTATTTCGTACAAACTTTTGAATATTGAGCTGTGACTGGTTGCCAAAACTTTCGCGCATTCGGTCTTTCGCCCATGAGGGATTCACACAGCAGAGAAAGAGTCTCTTTGAAAGTTCAAATTTTCGCATACCTTAACTACCCATTTACCCTCCCCGTTCTTTGTAACGAATATCTCCACCGTTCTTGAGGGGACTAATTCACCGATTAAGCGGTTATAATAACGAATCGTTGCAATAGGGGGGGGGGGGGTAGTACTTTTAGAGATCCGTAATTTCTCAACAACCAATCAAGGGGACGGAGCATTGGTTCTAGGTTCAAAAAGGCAAAAGGCAAATATGCACGTATGCATAACCCTTGAATTAGTCATTTATAGAGATACAGTCCGATTTGGTACTCAGTATGTTCAAAGAAAAGCAAAAGAGAAGAGTTAAACTTGTTTTTCAGTCTAAAATTAAGCTAATCAAGTAAACTCTTAATTCTTCTTCGCTTATATAAGCTGACTCTTAACTCCTTGCCTAATTTTTTCAAAAACTGAATCGCTTTTTAATGAATGCCTTAAATCTACACCATGATCATTTTCTTTTTCATGAAAATTGTGAAATTCAATCACTGTTTGAAGGTTCGCCCTCTCACTTTTCTGTCTGCTCATGAGTCTGGTGGGAACAGTAGCCGACATGAACACCCCTCATGATTCGTACGACGTGGACGAAGGAAGAGATACGAACACTGCTACGACTAATCCCGACACCGAACAAGCCACGACTCAGTTCGGACAGGCAGTCGAGGCCGAGTGAATATTAGTGATTGACGGGTGAAAACAAATCAGAGCGTATACCATTTAAATACCTTTTCTCATGGGTGGCTTTGACCTGAAAAATAAAAGTTTTTCAATGCAATTGTTTATTTGAAAAATGTTGAGAAATTTTGTACGCTCTAATTTGACATCCCTATTCGAAGCTGACAAAAATACTAATACTCGACTGTTTTGATTGGCCTGCTTCTTAAACTGGAGCTCAATTTAAAAAATGATTGATTTTATTCAAAGTGCAGAAAGTGAAAATCAAACAATAATAAATAATAATAAAAATATTTGGAACTTCTGCAATTCGCAGACGAACTGCAAAAGCTATCAGGCCTGTCTAAACACATTTCGTTTCTATTATTTTCCCACATTCCAAACTGGTTATTTTGTTGAGCAATGCCAATTTTTTTGCATAAAGAAAATAAAATAATAACAAGCATAACCGGTTACTGTGCAAGCAGCACAGAATGTTCCGACCATAGTCTTTTGAAAACAACGTCTTAGAACGTTTTTTTTTCAAAATTAGTGCAGTTTTTTCTGCTTGGTGTGATAAAAAGATCTGATGTAAAATATTATTAAGGCATATTCGAAAGTAATAGTAATATAGGCAAATTGGACCAAAACTTTTTGTAGAAAAGTGACTGGAAAAAAATTTTAAAAAATGTTTATAATTTTTTTTTCAAAATTTTTACAGAAAAGTTTTGATTTTAAAAAAATTTTGGTTCCAAAATTGAAACTAAAAACTCCAAAAACTACTTTAATTGCTTAAAAATAAGCCTTAAGGTCTTAAATTAGGTGTAATTCTGTTGTTGTAAGCCTGCTCGCTCGCTTGCTTCCTTCGCTCGAATTAAGACGAAAAATCAAAAATATCAAACCGGGTTTTCTCGATAATGGGACAATTTTTTGAAAAAGTTATTTTATGTCGTTCGAATTACGGCTGAAATGGCTTTAATATGATATATCACTCAAACCGGTCCGATCATTATTTGTGGTACCTGATTTTGCGAGGAAAACAAAAAGCAAAAGACTAAAACACACCGGAATACAAAGTTCCTCCGCATTTTCAATGGTCGGAACAAAAAATTAACAATGTATTTTCCTCAGAATTAAACTTATGCGATTTAAATGCCCTCCGGCTCCTGGACAAGCTTCTTCGAAACGATGCGTAACAATTTTTCTTTACACCCCGGCATATGAGAATTGCTTTTGTTTTAATTAAATTTCGGTCAGTCAACTAAATGCCATGTTCATGTATGTCATGTCATGACAATGGGAGACTATTAGAAGAGTTTCTTTGAAATATATCTAAATTTTATCATTTCCGAGATCCAGGCTTATAACCAAAAAATGCCCGATATTCATTTTATATTCTGCATGTAAATAAAGTGAAAAGTTTAATTAATATTTTGTTGTCTAAATATTGTCAACATCAGGGGCGGACACTTCCATTCTCAGGGATTCGACCACCTGTCGACCCAAAGGGTCCCCCCTTGTACTATTTTAAGATATCCATTTTTGGTGACGGACCCTAAAATTTTTCTAAAGGCGTCTTCGGCGCCAATATATACTAATTCTGAGGCAGGAGCGCGAGCCAAAAAAACGCGATTTTTTGGTCAATATTTTCCAAAAATTGCCTAAAAACGCCTTTTTATGGCTTTTATAGCTGAGCCAAAACCAGCCCTCCTCTCTCGAAAAAATCATAGATCTTTACTGCATTTATACATACATACATACATACATACATACATACATACATACATACATACATACATACATAAATACATACTTAACATACATACATACATACATACATACATACATACATGCATACATACATACATACATACATACATACATACATACATACATACATACATACATACATACATACATACATACATACATACATACATACATACATACATACATACATACATACATACATACATACATACATACATACATACATACATACATACATACATACATACATACATACATACATACATACATACATACATACATACATACATACATACATACATACATACATACATACATACATACATACATACATACATACATACATACATACATACATACATACATACATACATACATACATACATACATACATACATACATACATACATACATACATACATACATACATACATACATACATACATACATACATACATACATACATACATACATACATACATACATACATACATACATACATACATACATACATACATACATACATACATACATACATACATACATACATACATACATACATACATACATACATAGATTAAAAAATACATACACATACAAATATATGCATAAGACAAAATTAGCAATTGTTGAGCCCCCTATTTTTAACTTCCCCTTCCCTGAATTTTTGAATACAGAAAATAGTTGAAAGGAAAAAAAGAAATTAAAAGTGAAGTTTGCGCAAAAAATTGAAACCGAACAGCAGGGGACTAATTTCAGTTACACATGGCTGAACAAATTATAAATAGATAATAAAGTAGTTTCATGGTCATTTTCTATATAATTTCAAAAAAAAGTGATTACATAATCTGAACACCATTTAAAGTCCCGATGACAAGTTTTTTTACAAAACATGGCAAAAAAATAGAAAAAGCAATCATTTGCAATTTTTTCTTCATTTTTTCCTTTATTTTTCTTTCAGATTTAGAATGATGATTTCAGGCGCTATTTTAAATAAAAAGTGACCTCTTTTGTGTCTGTCTATGTAAAAGTAAAACTAATTTTATAGCTCATTTCCATTTTCAATTACATAATTTTCCAATAACGCCTCCATATGACGAATGTTTTTGCGCGTTGATTTTGATTGGTTTGGCAATTTTTTAATCCCCCATAAATTTACGAAAAAAAAGTTGGAGTGTATTTTTCTTTTTAGTTAAAGGCATTAATGGTTTTCAGATGATTTTCAGTTTATAGGTTACACTACCATGGAAAAAAAACATTTGAGCATACACACTAGTTGTTCCGACCACTGAACGTGGGAAGGAAATTTGCCTGCAGGTTTGTTTTCATTATTTTTTCTGATGTCTTTGTTTTTCAGCAAAATCAATTTCACTAAAAACGCTATAGTATTTGGTTGACTAATGCATCATATCAAATCTTTTCAGGCATGATTTAACTGAACTAAAAAAATTTCCAAAATTGAGATAAACCCGTTTCAAATTTTAAATTTGTGTTCTAATTTCCTGAGATTTAAGCGAGCCAGCCGGCTGAAAGTTGGAGGATATTAATTTTTTTTGATACTTGATTATTGAAAACTCTCAGTTAATCAAGAATAAAAAATGTTTTGATTATTTTTCTTCTGTGGTTAATAAATGGATTTTTTTTTGCATTTTATGGCAGATGATGTTCGATGATGATGTTGTCAAAGGCCATTTTTAGGAATCGAATTATTTCTTCCCCTTGATCGCAAACGAGAGCGTAAAGGGGAAATTAGTTCAGAGAGTCCATCATAAAAACTATGGTGTATTTTTTGCGAGGGGAGAAATTTTCGATCATTTTGTTTTCTAAAATGTTGTTGTAAGTGCCAGGAGCTGATCTAACAAAAAACGAACATCAAAATGTATTGTAATAGACCACAGAGTTTTTGGCATTTGAAGAAAAACGTGTAGCAAGTTGAACTTGAGTTGCTCAGCTGTTAAAAAAATATCAATTCAACAATTTTATCAATATGAGGACCAAATTGAGCATCGAAGTTAAATCAAAGCTAAACTAAACTGATTCATAGTCTAACAAAGGTTTATTCTTAGGAAAAATATAGCCAACAGGAGGTCGCAAAGTGGTGTAAAACAACTCAAAGAAATAAAAAAAATAGACTAAAGTTTGTTGAAACTGTTTTTTTTTTCGAGTTTCGAGTTAATATATATTACATTGATGCTATTTCAATTTCAAAATTGTTTATGAATTGCCAAGTTATACTTAAGTTAACCTATTTACAGAAAAATTCATCAGCAGTTATTTTTTTATTACGCTGGGAATTCAAAAAATAAAGTTCATTTTTGAAAAAAGTCAATCACATTTTTAGTGACTTACTTTTTTTGCTGTTCATAAGGGTTTTTTTGTTTTTAAAACCGGAAACAAACTGAACTTGAAAATAATTCAACTTGAAATCCGCAAAAATTCAAACTTGGCTTAAAAAGTTTTCATTACGAAGCCAAACTCTGCTCTGGATAGGAGCACAATTTTGTGTCTGTATGTTCCTGGATTCCAGAGACAAGTCTTTAAACATGTGAAAATTTTGTCGGAACGATTAAAGGAAAGTAAAGAACAAAAGAAGAACAAAGGGAGCGTCTTTTTTGCGGAATCCGCTTACAATGCACAAAATGCACAGTTTGGCCTCGTAATGTTTTCCTGAAAAAGAAATAAACAAAAATCATCACGACCTACATAAGTTACAATCACTTCTTGCTTTCACGCTTGATTGCAGAAATAGATCTTTTGACAAAACAAAATTTGAATTGAATAAGAAGCCAGTAGAAAAATTCGGTGTTTCAGAATGATGCGTTTAGTGTACTTACTTTAGTGTATGTGCAAAAAGCCGATAGAAAAAAATTTAAGTATAAAGCGATAACCTGTTTATCTAATTTATGGAGAATTTAGCAGAACTGAACTGAAGTTTTATCATGGACCTTTTTACCATCACGGACTCTATTTAACCTTTTTTTCAAAAACCTTATTTTGAGATACTTCAAATGAAACTATTGCAGAATTTGAGTTCTTTAACAAAAAAGACTCAAATTTAAAACATCGAAAAATTTAATATAATTGCTTTAAAGAACTATAGTAAAGAAAAAACAATCTAAATTCCCCTTAAAGATTTAACTTGAGTCTGCTTTTGACCATTATTTGATTTTGAAAATTGATTTGCATTAAGCTTATTTGAACGCGCACATAATATTTGCTTGCGATTAAGTGAGAAAGCAAGAAATGATTGTGGCTTAAATTATCACGACCTACATAAGTCACAATCACTTCTTGCTTTCACACCTAATCACAACCGAATATTATGTGCGCGTTCAAATAAGTTTAGAGCAAATCAATTTTCAAAATCAAATAAAGGTCAAAAGCAGATTCAGGTTAAGTCTTTAAGGGTATTTTAGATGGTTTTTTTTTTCTTCACTAAGGTTCTTCAAAGCAATCATATTAAATTTTTTGATGTTTAAAATTTGCGTCTATTTTGTTAAAGAACTCAAATTTTTGCAATAATTTCATTTTGAAGTATCAAAAAATAAGATTTTT